CCCTCTGCACAACTCCTTCACCAGGACATAGCAGTGACCACTGTCACATACCACAGCATTTGTAGCATTGTTTGTGATATCTGGATGGACCTGTATACACACAAATCATTAGTAAAACACAGATCACATCAATCAATCAGGGCTCATCGTGCTGTAAAAGAAAACATAAAAACTAAGTACCACCTCCATAAAGTTTGATTCTTTAATGATATATTAATGATGAATTATAACCTTTATTTATAGAGCAAAAGCCTTTCCTAGCAAACGTTTAGAAGCATTTTACAGCCACAATAGTGCCATGAAATGCAAAATAAAACCAAGAATAAAACAAGACATCCTGTCAGTTATCTTGTCTGTCTGCTGATGCTTATGTGGCAATATCAAAAAGTTCTCACAAACGTGACCTCACTGTCATATCAGTGATGCTATTACTGGTGATTAAGTGTTCTATGTAATCAATATGATAAGATGCACAGTGCACTCATGTTGGACAGTCAGCAGAGGGACTGTTGGACTTTGGTTTAGTTTGCCCAGGTGGCAGATTGAGCAGCAAGGGTCAGCACTGTGCACAAACATCCCATAATGTTTAGTTACTTTATCTTGTCCAATCAGATTCACATTACGAGAGGGCTGCATCTCCACGCTGGACTATAAGAAGTGTGAGAGTCTGACAGGAAGGCACCATCCGGTCCAATTCTCCTGACGTACAGGTGAGTCCAGCTCCGTTAATCTCACTTTCTTATGGGTTTAAACTGCTTTTTATATGCCGAGACAACTTCACAAATTCTTCTTTAAAACAACTTATTGTTACTTAACTTAAGAATTAAATTTAACTGTTTTAAATGTAAAATGCACCCTTTTATGGATTTGAATGAGGGAATTTATTTCTATTTCTTAATCAAATTCATCTTACATACATTGTTTTACTTTCAGGCCAAGTTATAGCATCAATTTATTTAGAAAAGATATTTTTTTAATTTTATTGATAGATCTTAATGTCTTTATTTGTAGTTAATTTAATGTCCTTATTTTTGTTTTAACATTAACAACAGATGCCTTTTAAGCAACAACACACAAAGCTCAAAAGCACTAACAAAAATATAGAAAGTATTATAGAAAAGATATTTGTATACGCAGACTTATAGTTTCAGACCTAAGAAGGATATAAAAATCATGTTTAACTACAGACTTCTTCATCTTCTAACTTCAAACTAACTGCAAACCATATTCCAAAGCATTTTGAAAAATCGTTATATTTTTTAATATTCAACGTCTGAATTTCAATCAAAGTTTAAAAGAATGAATAAATAATCCAATGAAAAGTTAAAAACTGAGGTGTTTATTGAATTTAAAGCAGCATAGTGATATATCCAGTATAGTAATTCATTCCTTTTTATGTTTTTTAGGTAAATGTATTAGTAATATATATATTAATATACATGTATATATAGTAAGATGTTTTTATTAGTAAATTAATAAATTATATATATAATCAAATTATTAATTGTGAAAAAGTATTGGCATGTTGAGGTGAAGCAGTTTGAAAATCATTAGTATTTCTGCTAAAAGAAAGAATGATTCAGGATTCAGTATTCAGGGTGCTAACTACAGGGGAGCCGGGGGGACCTGGGCTCTTCTTGATAAGACATGAGCTCCCCTGAAAACACAGTGTGTGAAATTTGTGGGGCTCTCTAAAATATATTGACAACATTTTTTCTATTTTTCTATATCTTCATCGCCATGGATTTTGTGTAAACTCAGGCTACTATTCATGTATGATATGTGGATGAGGGTGATTCATCACTAATTCACTTATAGTAATAATATAATACCAATAAAGACACTGCTATTCTTGAAGTGTGGCTGCACAATATCATTCACTTCAGATCAGAAAATAGCAGAAAATAAACTTTCCTAGTCCCAGTCAGTCTTTCCTGACACATATCACGCTCAGTATGACTATAACAGAGAAAGCCTTGCTATAGTTCATACACTGCCTGTATTTAAACATAAAGGTTCATTCCTGACTTTTGGAACACATTATTCCAAACGTAAACAGCCTTTTACTGTAGCTGTTGACATGATGTCTCTGAAAGGCCAGATAGAGTTTACAAATGAATGTGTGGGTGTTTGAACACGCTGCAGCTAAAAAATATTTGTTTTATTACCTCGTGACAACATGGCTGGGATTCCTAGAACAACTTTTTATCAGTGAGTCATCTGATTGAGTAACAGGCATTCCTACACTCAACTTCTGAAAAACAACTTCATGAAACATCTTAGTAGCTAGAGCCAAGGCTTTTCATTTTGGTTGTATACATTCAAATAGTCAGAGGAGTTTAAATACACTGCTCTACTTTCCAAGAAATGGAAGATGAACTCTTTCAGTCAGCACGAGTATGATTACATTGGAATAAAGAAGAAACTGAAAAGAGGAACATTCAGTATATTAACACCAGGCTGTATCATGTTTGTTTTGTAGGTCTTGTCCACTCAGCAGCCATGAAATTCTCCCTCATTGTCGCCGTCGTCGTGCTTGCCTTGGCACAAGGTACAGTATGACCTTCCCAGAATTACTTTTAATTTTAAAAGTGTTTGAAGTGTTTAAAAACTTACTTATTGACTTTTATTTTGGAAACCCACAGGAAGCTTTGCACAGGAAGTTACCGACCTTGAAAGGCTCGGCCAGTACTTTGAGGAGATGAAGAACAAAATGACCCTGGAGCTGACTGAGATCATCAACAAACAGGACCTCGCCAGCCAGGCTCAGTGAGTATTAGAGACACCTCCAACCTCCACACAAAGTCACTCATGCTCAGGGGGATTCAAATCTAAATTTCTGCTGCTGATCACACTGGACCGTGTCTATTGTTTAAATGCTAACCAACAAGTTTCCACCCCACAGGAATATCCAAACCCAGCTGGAGCCCCTGGCCGCTCAGATCCAGGAGCAGCTGAAGACTGTTGCCACCAACGTCGAGGAGCAGATCAAGCCCATGGCCACCGAGATGCAGGCTCAGATCCAGCCCATGGTCGATAACTTCCAGAAACAGGTGGAGGCCATCTTCCAGAAGCTGACCGAGCAGGCCAGGGCCATTGGCAACTAAACCAATCGTCCTTCCAGAAAATGCAAATGTGCAACCCGGTACTACCATCTTTCTCCGCCGGAGTTAACGGAGCTACTTGCATTCAATGACTGGCCTGACAGTGGCAGAAATACAACAGCCCAAGATGTGTTTCACAGATTGTTAACATTGACATTATCATCCATCACAAAGTGCAATTAAAACTTGAAACACAACTTCAGTGTCAGTTTCATTTTGTGTGTCTGATGTGGGGTTTTTTTTTACCACTTTGCCACTGGAGTTCTTAAGTATTTTGATTTGGTTTATAGAAACGAACACATTTGGGAACTCTTACCACAAAAACACATAGCAATTATTTTATAAGTTTTATTCAAGCAAGCAAATGTCAAGGGAAATCACAACAACAGGCCTCTACAGCCCAAACATTCAAACATTTAAAAGGGATAAAATGGCAGAAAGGAATGCTTTCAATCTTACTGTCGTAGAATTCTCCTCTAAAACCCCTCATAAATTGATCATTTTCTATTTTAACTTTTTCTCTTTTTTTGTTGCATTTTCTCTTTTTAACTCTACAAACCAGGCCTGGTGTTTCTGTTCATTTACAGGCCTGGCTGGAGACTTGTTTCCATTGTTTTTTTAATATATTATTTGACTTCTTTTTACTTTGTTTTATGTATTTTCAATTTTTCGCTGTTAAATTCTTTTCTCCGTCGGTGAAGCTAGTCTCTCAAGGTTCCCCATTCCTGTGAACACAGAAAACACAATCAGTAATGCTGATCTCTTTACCCCTATTGCAACACAATTTGCAATTAATATTCAAATTCATATTACCCTTTCATTAACCAGTGGCCAAAACAAGCACTTCTGCTTAAACACCGCCAGCCTTATGGTCAATTTGAGACTGTAATTATTAACTTACAGTAAGAATGATGAGGCTTGTACATGAGTATAATGTACAAGTTGACGAGGGAACTCAAAATACACCAGTAGAGGGGTTAACATGTGGAAACATAATTTCCTGATACTGCCCTCTTTGTTTAAGCAGCTCTGGAAACTTAGTTGTACCTTGGATTCAGACACTTGGGACACCAGCTGAATTTGTCACAGTCTTCTGGGCGGCCTCCTTGGCCTGGTGGGCCTGAAGCACAGCCACCGCCTCATCCACCTTGAAAGACAATTGTTAAATGTTGAAACATCAAAACATTATGGTGAGATCGTCTCAAAGTGCTCACAAGATCCACTTTTCCTGTGTCTTAAAAAATGACTGCCTACTAATGAAGATGCAAACGCACATCCTCTACCGTTTATATTAAGACCAGAAAGTTCTCTCTGCACTTCCCTGTTTTAATATTAAGCGCTGGTGAACTCTTCAGAGAAACAACCAAAGGGAAGTTGTCAATATTAATTAACTTAGGCGCTGACCTTCGAGCGGAGAGACTCTGGGGACTCAAGCATGTGCAGCAGCTCAGAGTTGTCAATCTCCAACAGCATGCCAGTGATCTTTCCTGCCAGACTGGGGTGCATGTTCTGGATCAGTGGGAAGAGACGCTCACCTAGAGGAGTAACAGATACAGAGGAGAGGATTTAAGACAGGATGCAATTATCACAGTTACTCAGAAAATACCATGTAAATACCTGTTTTATATTCAATACACAGCACATTGGGTATATAGTGGGTTTGTTTTGTTTTTTGGTGGGGACAGACATGGCATTATACATACTGGGTCCAGGGAGGGGCAGGGGATGTTGTCCAATCTAACATGGTATGTGGTCATAAAGAGCTGTTGCTGACACTTACCCAGCATCTGCTTCTGTTCCTGTGGTGGAGCAGCAGCCAGCATGGAGGCAGTCAGAGGCTCCTGTCCCTGAACATGAACAGCAGGCTGAGGGGAGGGAGGCAGGGGATTAACAGTCAGACAGAATATTTGGACTGCACTTTGGGGGCAGAGTAGGTGAGTAGGTGTGATCTGACATAGAAATGTGCACTCCCACCTGCTGCATGGTGACTTGGGGCTGAGCAGTCATGTGCTGCTGGGGATTGCGGACTCCTGCGGCATATTTGTACTGAGGGACTCCACGCACAGTAGCGGCTGCTGCAGCAGCTGCGGAGGCTGGTCGGGGGCCCATGGTCTGAGCGGCTGCAAGAGGAGCCAACAGGAGGACAGAAACGTTAAAACACAAAGATACAAGTGGGAGCCATACACTTGAACTGTTTTTTCTGTGCAGTTAGACAGACTATTGATCCCAGTACAAGTGACTGACCGACACGCTGGGTAGACATCATGCGGGGCACCTGGGAGGTCGGCCGCATGGCACCGAAGGTCTGTGGTCGTGGTGCTGAGGGACGCATGGCACCGGGCATGTTCTGGAAATCTGTGAACACACAATTACACAGTGGCTTCATGTACACGTACAAACTACTGGGGTTTTTTTTGTCACAGTGTGCTTTTAGAATAACAGTAAATATACACAATGATGGAAGGACAACTTAAACTCACGCTGTGGCCGGACACCTTGGGTGGCCCAGCGTGGGCTCGGGCGGAGCTGGGCCATCTGCCCAGCAGCTGGGTAGTAAGCAGCACGGTTCTGGGCTTGAGGTATGGCTGCCATGAAGTAGCCAGAGGGTGGGGCTGGCTGGTAGGGATTGATGACTGGGTTTGGGACCGCACGCACACTGGCCATGCGCTGCATGTACTGGTTGGTCAGGTGGGCTTGACGCTCCTCCTTCCGCTGGGCCAGGGCCACATACAGCGGCTTGGTGGCTACAATGCGTCCATTCATTTCCGTCACTGCTTTGGTGGCCTCCTCTGGGGACGAGAAGCAGACAAAGCCGAAGCCTTTGCTGCGCCCGCCCTCCATCATGACCTGAGAGGAGAGTGAAGGATGAAACATATGAATCAGAACACAGAGTATTCGACCCGGGAGGTGAGAGCAGCCAAGTTCAGTTAAAAGCTGAGGTCCTACCTTGGCACTGGTTATGGTGCCAAAGGGTGAGAACTCCTTTCGCAGACGCTCATCGTCAATTCCATCATCAAGGTTCTTCACGTACAAGTTGACGCCCTGAAAATAGGATAAAAGCAGTGTTAACTTTTGTGTTTTCTTTTAAAAAGACTGCATATTAGGCATGAGTAATCCAATGTCACTGGACTTAATGATTTTGTCTGTAGCACATATTTATCCCCAGACTCCATGAAGAAGAAATGTGGGGCCCATGAACTACAGAGTCACTGTTGCAGCCATTTTGGCCAGTGCAACCTATTAAAGAGGGAGCACTGAATTTGACAAAGCTGCAGACGATATGACTGAATAATAGCTGACTGGAAGCGCCCGTCAATCCGTGACGCATTATTTTGTGAATTTGCACTAAAAGGAGGAAAAGGACCTGGTAGCGAGTCATGCGGTCTTGTTTCATTTGCTCAAATTTGCGTTTGAGCTCTGTCTGTCGCTCCACCTTCTTCTGGGCACGACCAACGTAGATCAGCTTGCCGTTCAACTCCTTCCCATTCATCTCATCCACTGCCTGAAGCCAATGAGAAAACTGAGTTAACTCCGGGGCAGGAAATGATGTCATTTCTAGGTGGTCCCCAGAAGATTATTGGTACGGCTCTTACCTTCTGGGCATCCTCGTGCCTCTCAAAGCTGACAAACCCAAAGCCTCGAGATTTGCCGTTGTCATCCGTCATGACGCGGATGCTCATGGCGTTTCCTAGACAACAAAGAGAACCTTTAGTGGGTATATTTTACTGCAGAGGATCAAAACGCTGTATATGTATGCACAGGAGCAGTCCAAGCTATTTGAAATATGGACACCTCGACTAACCGTATTTATTGAAGAGCTCCCGCAGCTTCTCATCATCCATGTCCTCACCAAAGTTTTTAACGTAGACATTTGTAAACTCTTTGGCTCGGGCACCCAGCTCAGCCTCGCGTTCTTTGCGAGATTTGAAGCGACCCACAAATCTGCATTAAAATGGACATTTAGCTAAATAGCTTTTAAACACATTAATGACAGAAATAAAAAAATTTCCTGCGTCACAACTGTCAAACCAATTATTTTGTTTAGTAAACTGTATGAGCTATTTCACCACCATCAAGCTTACTTAATTATTACACACTGATGAACTCTTATTAGATATACTGCCATCAGAAACTTTTGCTCAAACAGTCAAAAGTGCAATTTTCAAACTTCAAATCAGACCAGGTGCAATTTTAATTCAACACAGTCCTCCCCCTTCACACATTAGTATGCACCAAAAAACTGCTAAAACATTCACTTACACTTTTCGGTCATTGAGCAGCATGCCATTCATTTTCTCAATGGCTCGTTCGGCTGCCTCCTGAGTCTCAAAATGCACAAAGCCGTAGCCTTTAGAGCCATTCTCGTCACAAACCACCTTAGAGAAAGAAGACACATGCTGCTTTTTAAGCCACACACACACATGCAGTAAAACTTTATTAAACCTGAACTGCCTGTTGGATTACACCAGAAGTATTAGTCCCCTCTCTTAAACTCTCTCTGGTAACGTTCCTTGCGTTGTTTAGTACAGTTTATATCTCTAATACTAATGGACACACAAACTGTTCGGTTTAAGCACACAGGGAAACAACCTCCACCCATTAGTTATTTCATCTTATGACGATTCACACATCATACTGTATGTGCTAGGTGATACTGTAGTTATCTACAGTACAAACAACTCTAGGACACTTACAAAGCACACACATGCAAATTATGTGCCCGCACTTACAGTGCTACGCCATAACGATGGCGGTTGAGTAGCCCCCTGCTTCAGGTTAGATACAACAGCGGGGGAGTCGGCCGCCAGTCTTTTACCTTGCATGACAGGATGTTTCCAAAAGCAGAGAAGGTGTCATATAGAGCCTTGTTGTCGATGGACTTGTCAAGATTCTTGATGAAGATGTTTCCCACGCCGCTTTTTCTCAGTGAAGGATCACGCTGCGACCACATGATGCGCACAGGCCGCCCCTTGATCACATCAAAGTTCATGGTGTCCAGTGCACGCTCGGCTGAGGGAAGGAACACAGTGTATTTAGTGTATTTCAATTTTTAAAGGTTCTGGATGTGACGGGATTGGTTAAAAGCGAGGGTGTGAGTCTTAAAGGGGCTTCTTGGAAAACTGCATCTTCACGTGTCTCCCCGGGAGAAACCCATTTCTAAAACACTACATATTAGTCAGGAATAATCCGATGCCAAAGGACTAAAAGTGTCCCTTCATTGTTAATGTATTGTTTTTGTCTGTAGCACATATTTATCCCCAGACTCCATGAAGAAGAAATGTGGGGCCCATGAACTACAGAGTCACTGTTGCAGCCATTTTGGCCAGTGCAACCTATTAAAGAGGGAGCACTGAATTTGACAAAGCTGCAAAGTCTTTCAACATGTTTAACCAGACGATATGACTGAAGGTAATTAGCTGATTGGAAGCGTCTTCCTCCGCTGGTCTAGAGTTTCAAACTGGGCGCTTTTGCTAACAAGTACATGGGCACAACTGCATCAGCAATCTCTGGCAGCTAACTCAGACACATTTTAAGTTTACATTTAAATAACTGAATAGTGGTTGAGGTTCATTCTACA